ACTTGATATATTAGTTCCGTAGAACCGGGTGACTCTTTAACTTAATGTATTAGCTCCGTAGAAATAGTAGGCTGTCAGCCGTAAGCCGTTGACTTGCTAAATAAGTCTTACTCTGACTGAACGAGCTGTGCAGCTCCGCTACACTTGGTAGCACTTGTAATCAATCCTACACCTGAGTCGTTTCGACTAATCGTCTGTGAGAGATGGAAGGCCTTGACTACCTCTCTGAGGCTCAACGTATCGCGCTTGATAAGCTTAGATCGTTGATAGGGGTCGAGCAGGTCGACCACATCGTGGCCCAAGGCACAGAAGTCCTTAATGCACGTCTTGATGCATTTATGCAGTTTGAGGCCACGCTTATAGGGCAGGTCCACAACCATTTAGCCCCAGCCGTACCTACACGGTACTTTCCAGTACCTGACAGTGAGTCAAAGACTCGTCCGCTCACTCTAAGCGTTAAGGGTTTCGAGGGGAAAGAGGGGGAAAGTCTCCTCCTCTGGATCCGAGAAATCGATATGGCTAATGAAGCCGCCTTGCTTCAATCGGAGCGACAGAAAGTTGGCCTAGCCATTTCTAAGCTCGATGGTAGACCCAAAGAATGGGCTCTTACCTGTGATACGTCGGTTAGCGCTGCGTTTCCCACATGGGATTCGCTTAAACGAGAGATGTCTCGGCTGTTCGTGCCACCGAATCAATCGTATCGTGTTTGCTCTCGATTTGTAGCCGCCAGGCAGGGAGAGAGAGAATTGTCGGACTTTGTCCAAGATTTGCAAATTCTTTTAGCTGCTATGCAGCTGGACACTCTTCCAGAAAAGTCCGTGTCACCATTTCTATAGAGGGCCTTTGTACGGGGATCGCGAGGACGGAGGTCTTCCGCTTCCACCCCTCAACGTTTATAGGGGCCGTAGACGTCGCGTTGAATGCTGCATTCAACTTTATAGCCGCTCGCTATGGTGCTCATGGGCATGCCCCAAGATCGTTTGACGGGGCTGAGCCCATGGACCTCAGCCATGCTGAAGAAGAAGAGAGATCTTCTGGCTGTTGAACAGCAACGTAACATCCGTAGATATTACATGTGCGGGAGCACCAAGCCCTTGCGTCCTCAGTGCCCACTGCGGAAGCCGCATCAAAGTCGGCTGAGCCGCAATCCGCTTTCTAACCCGAAAGTGGGTACGGAGCGGGAAACGTCAACTCCCAGTAGGCACGAGGTGCCCTACTGGGGAGGAACTAGGTTCTGCCGAATCTTTAGGTGGTAAATAGACAGGGCTTAGCCCCGGACGGTCTTGTGGAAGTTTCCATGAGACGTGGGTATAAGCCAGGCTTGTTAGTGGCCTTGGCTAAAATTGAGGGCTTTGAAGAGCCGTGGTCAATATTAATTGACTCTGGAGTGTCAGGCAACTGTGCTCGACGCCTATCCCTAGAGGGATGTCACCAATATGCTGAGGCGCTGAAAACGCATGAGGGTGATGTTATCACTGTTCGCTTAGCGACAGGTACTCGTGTCACCGTACCTGAAGTTCCGTTGAACTAAGATGTGAAATTTTTAGATTTCGATAGTACCGAACGTTGTCTTGTCCTGGATTTGGAATCGAGATATGATCTCATCATTGGTATGGCTTGGCTGGAACGCCATGAACCATGGGTTGATTGGAGGTCGAAGACCTTAGGCGCAACGCGCAACGTTCCTAGTGAAGCTTTGGAGAGACATGAACCCACCTTTGCTAGGCAGCAAAAGCGCTATTGGCGCAGCCACTGAAGGATTCTGTCAGTGTTCTTGACATTGGAGTGTCTGAGCTAACTAACTCTGATGTCATTGACAGTAGTGAAACGGTACGTACTCCGTTTATTGACACTGGTAATGAAAGTGAATCACAGAATGCTGGAAGCATGGATGGCTTAAGGCTGAGTCATCCTGGGTGTGATCCCTGTGATGCGCGTGGAGTGGCACGTAAACATCCACAGAGTGAGGTTAGCCGTGACGGCACCCCACTACATGTCGGTAATGAAATTGTTGGCGATTCGCCAAGGCATCAAGAGCTATGCTCAACATATGCGCGTGGAGTGGCACGTAAACATCCACAGAGTGAGGTTAGCCGTGATGGCACCCCACTAAATGTCGGTAATGACATTGTTGTCGATTCGCCAAGGTATCAAGAGCTATGCTCAACATATGCGCGTGGAGTGGCACGTAAACATCCACAGAGTGAGGTCGGCCGTGATGGCACCCCACTAAATGTCGGTAATGACATTGTTGCCGATTTGCCAAGGCATCAAGAGCTATGCTCAACAGATGCGAGTGTGGTGGCACGTAAAATTCCGCAGAGTGAGGTCGGCCGTGAGGGCACCCACTTAATGTCGGTAATGACATTGGCTCTTTGAGATAGCAGATCGAGGTTGGAGATAATCTTCACCTCGTGGATCCGGATGTTCCTTACACGTTAAAGTGTTCAGTCTATGCACAGAGACGAAAGCGACGCCAGATGGCTACTGCAATACAAAAGGCATCTGTCATGTCCCAAAAGGACACTAGTGAACAGTTGTACACGTTAGTCAATGGGGTGTCGGGTGCGATTGATGGAGAAGTTGGCCTCGAGGCCCTCCTATCGCTTAATGATCTGTTAGAGCTAGATGAAGTGTCTGTAGATGAATTTCATCAGACCTTAAATACAAATGCTTTGTCTGATATGGTTGTCCTTAGATCTGATCTTGAGTCGAACTCATCATCCCTTGTAGATGGGACAGTCCTTGAGGACATTGTAGTTACACTCAGTGCTCGCTGTGGATCTGCCACTTTGAAGGATCCTTCGAATCCCTTCTATCCTTTGTTAAAGAAATTTCAGGACGTGGTGTGTCATGATCCACCATACAACCTACCTCCAGACAGAGGTGTGCGTCATGAAATTGACCTGGTCCCTGGGACCAAATATTGTGTTACACGTCAATGGCCGTTGCCTAAGTAACAGTTTGACGTCATTGACGAGTTCTTTCGTGCAAAGCACGCGGCAGGCATGGTGCGGGAGAGCAAATCTCTACACTCGACACCAACATTTTGTGCCAAAAAGCCCAGTGCACGCTTACAATAAGCTCAATGCGACCAATATACCTGCGCAGACACCTATTACATGAAAGGATGTTCTTCAGAACGCTATGGTAGAATGTACCATGTTCAGTGCACTCGAATTAGTCGATGGTTATTACCAACTGCTAATGCGAGCGAGCGATATCCTGCTCACAGCGATTATCACGCCGAGTGGCATGCTTTGGGAGTGGCTTGTTATGCCTCAGGGACTTTATAATGCCCCCGCAACGTTTAATAGTCTAATGAAGCAGTTGTTCCGGCCTCACCGAGGATCTGCACAAAGCTAATGACATTTTTTGTCCATAGCCGTGCGGAACAAGGAAGATCAGATGTGGAAAATCACATTGACCATTTACGAGCAGTGCTCGGGTGCATGTGCACAAACAAGTTGTATGCAAATGCATCTAAATGCATTTTTGTGGCTGAAGAAACCCCTTTGTCGGGTGCTTTATGGGAAGCGTGGCCTGCGGGTGGATCCAGCTAAGATAAAGTCATCTGTTGACTGGCCGGTTCCGTCTAACCCAAAAGACTTAGAGCAAATGGCTTGTCTTAGCCAATTACTTACACAAGTATAGTGCAAACTATGCTGACATGGCAATGTGGTGGAGCGGCGATCGCTCATTTTATGAGGCGATCTCGACTCTCCACTGGTGCCCAGACGACCGACTATCGGAGGGGGTACTCCGTTTCCGTGTCTTGTATTTCCTTCCTCACCTTGTGTACCCGTCGGTAGGGCGGGCTGCACTCTTCTCGGTGGACTCGCTTCGAGAGAAAACTTGACCGTGTTTGGAATGGGGTTTGTGATCGGGCGTAAATCTTCACGCGATCACGGTAGTACTTGTAGGCTACTTGATGTAAGCCACTTAGATCTCTAAGAGATCACCTTGTCCAATATGTTGTTGCTTGATGCGAGCCTTCCGACCACTTGAGCCGTCTCGCGATCTTGCGCCTTGTCCTTTACGTTCTTGCTGCGTCCGATCGCAGTTGGGGTTGTTTTAAGAGTTCTTGATCCCCAGCCAATTATCTGGGGATATCACTTGATTAAAGTATACGAAACTTTCGTGACGTCGGGAGGCCAATATTCCAGCCCGGAAGAGAAGTTGACACGTGTACTTAGAAGTAAATAGATTTCTGTTTAATGTCCACCAACCAAAATCTAAAAACTGCGAGTATGCCTGTCTGTATGCCAGGATATGCCGCCATGTGTCTTCTACCTTTCGTTGGTCGTCCTTTAGCATATGTGGTCCACACCCTGATCGCTCGTCGATCACCTTGGCCGCTCGCTGATCTTCCCAATCGTCGATCACTTGACCGATCGCTGATCATCCAGATCGTCGATCACCTTGGTCGATCACCTTGGCCGATCGCTGATCATCCCAATCGTCGATCACTCGATCGATCGTCGATCACCTTGGCTGATCGCTGATCACCTTCGTCGATCACCTTGGTCGATCACCTTGGCCGATCGCTGATCATCCCAATCGTCGATCACTCGATCGATCGTCGATCACCTTGGCCGATCGCTGATCTCCCCCGATCGCCGATCGCCTAGTTGTGATTTTCGATCTGGTTATTGTTATATTCGATCCCTCTATTGTGAAATTCGATCCCCTTACTGTGATATTCGATCTCGTTGTCGTGATAATTGATCTCGCTGTTGTGATTTTCGATCTCGACATCCCGTAACTTAACAGCCAATCATTCCTTCTCAGCGATTTGTCGTGATTTGCGATCACTCCACCCAACGATCTCCTCCATTGTTTCGATCCGCTTTGCCGCAGCAAAGATCGTCCAAATTGTCTTTGCCTGCTTTACCACAGCCGTCCCCTGAACTGATAGCCGACATGCAGTGTTGGTATATCTGTGCACTCGTCTGAAGTAATCTCCATATCCACATTTCCGGCTATACGCGTTATTCTTCATGGACGACTCTAACGATCGGTTGATCGCTCGCCCAGATCCGGTGGAAATTCCAAGCTCCTCGCCACCAGCTGCGATCCCTTTGCGTTCTTCGTCGTCGTTCCCGAGTGGTCGCGTGAACTTCCTTCCTGCGATCGATCGGCACACTTTACAATCTTATATCAACGATCTGTACGACTGCGCTGAGGCTGGTCAAGACCAGCTAGCCAGCTATTGTGCAATACACGATCAGTTGAGAGCTCAGGAAATTCGCGGCGCTCGCTTGGAACGCCAACTGCACGACGTTCAAGAATTAGCAAGACCGATCCGACAATATGTGAACGAGCGGTACAACGCGTTGCGTAACTCGTTGGCCGATGCCGAGAAGAAGAACGATGACTTCCAAGAGGAATTAGCTGTTCAAGCGGAACGTCTACAGGAAATTCCGATCCTGAAGTCGTCCATCTTGCAGCTTAAAAAGACCCGCCATTCCGAACAAGAGAAGCATCGGCGTCAACTGGCTTCACTTGAAAACGAGTTACAATCAGCGATTGCATCCTCCAAGGAGGCTGACGACCGGGCGAAACTCCAGATCGAAGAGGCGAAGACTCGATTTGCTACCCGCCAATCAGCGATAATGCGGGAGTTGGCCATGACCCAACGAGACTTGGGTACAGTCAAGACTGAGCGCGATCGCCTCACGGCCCAACTTTCGGATATCAAGAGTCAGCACGATAGGTTTAAGTCTGAGCTCGCCGATCGAGATGCCGATCGTGGCCGATTGTCCCAGAAAATAAGTGCATTGGAGGTAGAGCGCGATCAGGCACTCCAGTCGAAAAATTCGCTCTTCGCTCGCTTGACAGAGGTGGTCGCCAGTGTTTCTCCAAGTGTTCTGCCTGCACCTGCCGAGTCTTCCCCGAAGAATTTTCCACGTCAACCTAAGCGATCGCCTCCTGCTTCCCCGTCCAGGGAATCCCAAGCCAAGCGTGCCCGATATATCGGATCCTCGCCACGTCGATCGGCTTCTCCCGGGTTGTTTGGTTCAAGATCGTCATCGTCGGAATCATCTGAGGACAGCGATCCAAAGGACTCTTCTTCCGATGAGACCGATGATTCCTTGTTGGCGGCGTTGTCGTCATCTCGTTTGACTGCCCGTCGTAGAAACACGTCGTCCCCTAAGAAACCATCGTCTACTCCGACCCGTCCACCGGTGAATGTCAATTCCTCCAGTCCGGAACATGAACCTCACGATAATACATCGGGAGTGTCTTTGGTGGATTTATTCGGAGAGCCTTCCAGCGATTCCGAAAGCGATCTCAGTCTCTCTGGTGATCCTCGGAGTCCGCGGAATTCCTTGTTGACACCTGCAGATTTTGTGGCGCTTTCCGACACCCGCATACCCCGCGATCGTTGGATTCCGGGGTATCGCGATCGGGTTTCACGATCGGCGGTTGATGTGTTCCCTTGGTCCTCCCGAAGAGTGAGCTTGATCAGCGTATCCGAGTTGGACATAGATTAGTTCTATCGCCACTTTTCCAAACCGAAAGGGTAAATCTTTCCAGTCCGGCTAGGCAAAGCTCACCCTCCTCCGGAGTCGTCTTGGTCATCCCATTTGATCACGTCGGCCAAGATTGATCAATTTTACGATCAACAACCGTGGGACATTTATGATCAAGTCATACCCCCGATCTTCTTCAAAACTTCCGGCTGGTTCGAAAAATTGGCCGAAGCCTATAGCCGCTTTGTGGATAGTCATCGCCAAGCTCTGTGGGAATCAACCCATTTCTTGTGGATATCTCCTGAGCAACGTAGAACGGACCCTGGATTGGAAGCATTTGCGCGTGCAAGAAGGCAGAGACGATCTCGCGCTGGGCCCCGTTGGAAAAGAGTACTGCAGCTGATTCTTTAAGGCATGATCGACGGTCTCTGCGATTTGGACATTTTATTGGACCCCATGTTCTTGCACTTTCCACGTCCGAATGAGGCTAGAGTGTGGTATCCCGGCCTTTCTGCGAACCGGACCAACATACCTAACTTGATCACTGCTTTGTCGATCGATCATGCCACCGAGCGTTGGAGGACCCAGTTTCGTCCTTCGATCGCAGCTCACCCTGGGTCGTCACTTCCTCGCTTGATTGGTAAATTCTTCGATCGCGAGTAATCTCTTTGGTTTGTTCCATAACGCGATCTCTCAATATACTTTCTTCTCATTTCCATTCGATCGCTCCCATAATTCTTGTTTCTTCCTCCTTTCTAATCATCGTGATCGCACCATTAGATCTGCGATCGTTATACTCACATTACATAAATCCCCTTCCATCTCCATGTGCAACCTCCTTGCACCCCAAATTCTCCTCCTCGTCCATGCACCGTCTCTGCATAGACCCATTCCACTCCAGCTTTCTGTTAATCGCTATTCTCGGTCTTCTTCTTCGTGTGATTGCATTGTCTCGAAACGATTCCTGCTAACCCGATCGCGATCGAAATCCTGTAACAGAGCTCCACAGTTTAAATCAGCTTCATCAATCCAGGTTGGATCGTCGTATTCCTTCCACTGTACTAGGTACTGCTTATGGATTCGGCCATATCTCGTTCTCCGTCCTGAGCGCACATCAACGATCTTGTCGATTTCATACTCGTCCGCTTCTAGGTTACCCTCCCAGCTATCTTCCGGCAGCAGTGCTTCTTCAAAATTCAATCGACTTGCCTCCTCCACCATCAAACTGCCTGTTGGACGTTCCGGGAATACGCGAACTAGCTTCAGCTTAGATACGTGGACTATTGGGAATAGTCTGTACGGCGTGCCTGCGATGTCCAACTTTACTGCACGATCGCCGCACTTCTCAGCCACTCGAAAAGGTCCATGCCACATATGGGCCAAATTTCGTGCGTATCCTTCCTTAACTCGGTCCAGATATAACCACACTCGTGACCCACGATTGATATCCCGCAACTCTCTGTCTTCGTTATGTCGATCGGCTCGGCCTCTGATTGCATCCTTCAGTCGTCCATTCACTACTGTTTGAGCACGTTGGTACTGACGTTGTATACCATATCTCCATCTTCGCGCATCTCTATCCCGGGGTTTGGTGCTTCCCAACGGTAGGGTCGCTTCCAAAGTCGATCTTGGATCCCAACCGTGGATCAAGTAGAAAGGCGTATCTCCCCGGATTCGATCGTGAGCGGTATTGATCGCATATGTCAATCGCTCCGCGTATTCGTCCCAGTCCTTTTGGTTTTCATCCATAACGTACATCTTAATCGATCGAGTCAGCGTCTGCACCATGCGTTCGGCCGTACCGTTAGCTTGTGGTCTATATGCCATAGCGGCTCGCTGTTTTTGTCCCGCGATTCGATTGAACTCTCGGAAGAAATCAGACATAAATCCCGGCTCACGATCATGACGTATCGCCTCGCTCGCACCGAATCGTCTGAACACGCACTCCTCATAACTTTCGGCGATCGTCTGGGCTGATCTGGACGAGCTTGCCTTTGTGATCACGTATCCCGAGAACAAATCGACCCAGAGCAACAGCTCGGTGTTCCCTTTAACAGATCTTGGCAACGAAGGGATGTGATCCATAGCTATAATCTGAAAAGGGTACGTCGACTGCATATTACCAGGTGATCCAACTCGATCCACCGGTCGTCCTTTTCCTGTTTTACAATCCACACATTCTTCCACATAGCGCTGCACGCTCCGGTACAATCCACGCCAGTTGAAATTCATCCTGATCCGTTGATATGTACGGCCGATTCCTTGGTGACCACCCTCCAAACTGGTATGGTAGTGGTGCAAGAAATCTTGCTGTAACTGTTCTGGGACCACCAACCGAGCCAGTTCGGTACGATCGTCAACCTCGGTGTTCGATCGCGGACAGAAAAATAGCAACCCACTCTGATCTACTTCATAGTCCGGCGCGATCAGGGCGCACATTTTAGCCTCATCGGCCGATAGCTTAGCCATGTCTCCAAATAAATATGTCTTCAGACTCGATATCCAGCTTTCTTCGTCTTGTGCTTGTTTAATACGACCAATCCGTATTTGCCGCACAACTTCTTCCTGTAAAATTCGGGGCTGACAACGTCTTCTCTGGTCTGATCGAGTGATAGCTGTCACTTTTACCGCACGACCGACTCATTCTGGTAGTAGCAATTCATTTAGCCGATTGAGTGTAATCAAATCCTGCCGCTCTTGATCGGAAAACACAACTGTCCCTTTCTCTTGCTGTAGAGCTTCACTCGCCAGTCGATCTGCGCTCTGATTCCAATCTCGCTTCATGTGTAGAAACTCGTGTGAAGGCCACGATCGCAGTTTCTCCATAGCCTTGTGCCTCAGCAATTGCAGCCCCGGCGCTTTACAGTCCATTTCTCCTCGCATTTGACGGATCACCAAATTTGAATCTCCACAGATAATCACCCGTCCCCTGGCCTGATCTGCGAGCAAATCGAAGCTAAGGATCAGCCCTCGGTATTCAGCTTCATTCACAGTAAGTTCAGGGGCAAACTCCGAAGCCGCGGCCACAATCGTCCATTCCGGCAGTTTCCATATGATCGCGCTGTATGTTCCGCCCTTTCTTTTCATTCTGGCTGATCCATCGAACCTGGCTACTAGCAGGCTTTCACTCAATTCCACTGTGGGTGGTGGCATTCTTATGGTCTGCCTTGGCTGTTTCCTCGGGGCGATCGCAATCAAGACTTCGTCTACTTCTTCGCGAGGTGTTATACTTGCAGCCAACATACCGAGTATATCATCTTCCCCTTTCTCATATCGTCTGATCTCCAGCGTCCAGTTCGATGTAAGGCAGCCCATCTTCCCAATCTTCCATTGAGGCCTGAAGATTGTAACAACCATGCTAGTGTCGAATACCGCGTAAGTACCGTAATCTCACGGGATACTAGCATAGTATAGCAGATATCTAGTATCCGGAGGAGAGCCAACACTTCTTTCTCCACCATCCCGTAGTTGACCTCATTGGGCTTTAGCGTACGACTAGAGAACGTGACAGGCCAATACACACCATCATATTCTTGTAGTAGAGCAGCTGATACGGCCTACTTACTAGCGTACACCATGATCACAGGAGACCGATCGGGATCAAAATGTTTTAAGATTGGAGTTGTGGCTATCTTAGCTTTCAGCAATGTGAATGCGATTATCGCCTTCTCCCATCGGTTCCTGGTCTCAGGCGTTCGATCGTCCCCCACAATTGGGTACGAATCGCGATCGATCTCAAGTTTTGGGCACAAATCCCGATCGCCCCCCACAATTGGGTACAAATCGCGATCGACTTCCGGTTTTGGGCACAAATCACGATCGCCCCCCTTAATTGGGTACGAATCGCGATCGATCTCAAGTTTTGGGCACAAATTTCGATCGCCCCCCACAATTGGGTACAAATCGCGATCGATCTCAGCTTTTGGGCACAAATCCCGATCGCCCCCCACAATTGGGTACAAATCGCGATCGACTTCCGGTTTTGGGCACAAATCACGATCGCCCCCCTTAATTGGGTACGAATCGCGATCGATCTCAAGTTTTGGGCACAAATTTCGATCGCCCCCCACAATTGGGTACAAATCGTGATCGATCTCAGCTTTTGGACACAAATCCCGATTGCCCCCCACAATTGGGTACAAATCGCGATCGACTTCCGGTTTTGGGCACAAATCACGATCACCCCCCACAATTGGGTACAAATCACGATCGATCTCAGCTTTTGGACACAAATCACGATCGCCCCCCACAATTGGGTACAAATCGCGATCGATCTCAGCTTTTGGACACAAATCCCGATTGCCCCCCACAATTGGGTACAAATCGCGATCGATCTCCGGTTTTGGGCACAAATCACGATCACCCCCCACAATTGGGTACAAATCACGATCGATCTCAGCTTTTGGACACAAATCACGATCGCCCCCCACAATTGGGTACAAATCGCGATCGATCTCAGCTTTTGGACACAAAGTACGATCGCCCTTCACTCTTCCTTCGCGAGCGTCATCAGGTCTTACGGCTGCGATAGGCGTCGGATCTTCACTCAAACGGTTGATCTCATGAAAATCCGCCTCTCGTAGTTCATACAAAACCGCCGCGTATATTGCGAAGTCTTCAATGAATCTGCTGTAGTAGTTGAGGCTTCCCAAAAATGACTGCATCGCTCGCATTGTGCGAGGGAACGGGATGTTCACCAATGATTCCAGGTTTTTTGGATTAGCTTCCAAATCTGCGAGTGAGATTTGGTGCCCCAGATATTCCACCTTGCGACGGCCCCAAAAACTTTTGGCCACACTGATCGACAAATTCCACTTATCGCACACCTCCAACAACCTTTCCACTTTTCCACACAGGTCTTTCCACGACGTAGCCGGTATTAATATGTCGTCAATGTAGGATCTTCGACCCAACACTGATGGATTTGGATCCATATAATCGGTTCCCCATCGGTGAAGACATCTATCAACTTCGGCGACCCTACCACAGTCGATTCCGACTTTGGGTCGATCTTCAAATACCCATAGAGGGCGTTATCGATCAAACGTTGGTAGATCTGCGGAGCATTTTTCAACCCGAAAGGCATCCGTAACCACTCAAACAACCCGGATGGCGTGATAAGAGCGGAGATTGCCCTTGCTCTTTCCGTCATCTCCACCACCCAGAAACCACTTGCCATGTCCAATGAACAGTACCACATAGCTTTATCCATGTCTTGCAATAGTTCGCTGATCAGTGGCGTCGGATACACCATCAACCTAGTCAGCTAATTCACCCGCCTGTAATCAATACACAGCCTTATATCTTCTCCGTTTTTCTTGATGATTACCACGATAGGGGATGCCCATGGTGATGTAGATGGTCGAATGATCTTGTCCGACAGCAGTCCCTTGATCAGATCAGCGAGTTTTTCTCGGAACTTTGGAGCTACCGGTCGGACCCGTTGTGCGATCGGGCTAGCTCCTCCTACATCAATGTCACAGACTGCGCCGCGCGCCGCAGGGGGAAGGGCGTTGCCTTTTCCAATTAGTAGGTGCCGGCTTTTCCAAATCATTTGTCGTAATTTCTCTTGATCTTCGGTTATTGGAATGCCGGGATCACCTACTTGGATATCATCGATCGTTATATCTTGTGTAGGCGTAACGACTTCGGGAAGAACAGCCAGGTGTTGATCCACATCTTCTGCGAACAGTTCGCCGGCATCGTGGTGATACATCGGTGATGGCGTCAACTCATCTTTCGTCGTCTCTTCGTCGGTCTTGGTGCAGTCCATTTTTTTCGTCCGTTTATCCACCTGATCTTGTAACTCACAATCTTCACTCTTAATCCTGTCAGGCTGACGGCTGGACTGTTTATGGACAGGATCTGTTACCTCATACCTGTTATCTTCAATGTCGCCCGACTTCTGTCCTGTCTGCCTCGGTCTATCTCTACCTCGATCACTCTCGTACCCTGTTTCGATCACATCGATCCCTGTCGGAGGTCTCACGATCTCATCGTCCGCAGGTGTGTCGATCTTCACCACTTTGCAGTCTTCGACTAATTGATCGGCCTGTCCTTGAAATTCACCATCCCTCATTTCGATCGCGTCTAACTGATAGCTGGACCGTTTATGAAACAGATCAGCTTCTACATGTCTGATCTCGTCCGTTGCGATTTCCTTCACATCTCCGATCGCTTCGCTAGGTTGATCTTGTCCTCTATCGGCGTTTACAGTCTCTTTAATCGTGTAGATCGCAGAAGTTATCTTTTTTAATCGTTGATCTTCTTCCGTCGAGTGTCTTCTGTCCATAGCTTGATCTTGCCCCATGCTTCTGTCGATTTTTTCTTGGTCTGATTGCGACATACTCTTATCCAATACTTCTGTCGGTTGGCGGGGTAGAATTCTGGTGGGTATTTCGTACACAGGATGATCCACCAACGGCCCTGTATACTCTTCCACTGTCTCTTCCTCTCGTTCTGTGGTCGCTTCAAACGCTAGTGTTTGCCATTCTGTATATCGCCTCGATCCGATCGATACATACCCTGGTGATCTAGGCATCATGTTCGATGTCATCCACAAAGCCAACGCAGCTCCGTGATTTAAAATTATTTCACGATCGCTGAGGTTCGTGAGCTGCACATACTTTATTTGGCCGTGTCCACAAGTGACCGTCGGCACCCACGCCACGCCTCGTCTCACCCAAAGTTTAGCTTTAGGTGGACCGACTCCAATTCGTACCTCTGTCGATCTGCCCACTGGTATGACCACGTGTTGATCTATCAGGTTGATCGCTTGTATATTCGATCGGTAAGGTGGCTTCCTTCCTGCCAAATTAATTCGCACTTCGTCAGGCAGACATTATGTCCCGTCGGCTAATTCCAAACGGATGCCCGCAGGAACCATAAAATCCATACCCAGTATGACTTCTTGGCCGACTTGATCACCTACCCAAACGTCGAAATAATAAACCAGTGATCCGTCCAACGTGATCTTGATCTTCGTCCGTCCTACCGTCATATACAAGTTTTCTCCAATTCCAACGCACTCTTGAGTTTGACTGTCGTCGATCACGCATCCTACCTTACGAGCAAAGGTAGTATCGAGGATCGACACTTCAGCGCCAGAATCGAACAGCATCGTAGCTTTCTCGTTGTTGATCTTGCCCATCGCTTTAGCTTGCTTAAACCATTTTCCGGGAGTGTGGTATTTCCAATATCCGCGCGATTCTCCTGGCGCAAGGTCGAGCTCCATCCTCACAGGCGATCGGGCGTAATCATCCACTCTTTTTACACTTGATACTGACGAGACCATTGTTAAATCTTTATGTATATTAGCGATCGGATCGATCCGATCGTTAACCTCTTGATCTCTCCTTGGTCCTTCCACAAATACATAAATGCAAAGCCTAGAATGCTCGGCTCGTGCCAGATTCCAACCTGGCGAGCGTTCTAGTTTAACATCTCATCCACCTTGGGTGGAAACATCCCAGCATGCTTCGTAGGCACGTACCACTTTCGGATCAAATTGAAGAATTCTTCCATGGGGCACTTGCCACTCTCGTGTATCTCCCCGCAGGATGCACACACAAAGAAACATTTTGCAGAAGGGTGTCCCTTGCGCCCACACTTCTGGCACGTCAATCGCTTCCAACACCCTCAATCATCGTGTCCGGTAGATCCACAATGGGTGCACTCCTTCGATCGTCCACTTTGATCGCATCCCTCTCCTTCGCCAGTGTTTTTCTGCCAGGTGCGATGATCCTTGTTTGGTGTTTCTGGGTCGGGTGTAGTTGTCACACAAACGCGACGACGATCCACTTCCTCTTTGGATCCGATCGACTCCGATTCCGATCCGCTGCTTTCGACTTTTTCGCGTATCGATCGCATCACCCGAGTCGTCTCGGACGCCATTGGGTTAGTAGGTGCGATCGCTCGCTGGTGGAATTTGTTTGATCCCATCGTCGATTTTATCTGACGATTCTCCATTCGTTGGCATGCACGGAGAGTGTCTTCCATCTCATCAATATCCCTCAATCTCAGCAAAGTCAGCTGTTTCGCCAAATCACGGTCGTCCAGCGTAGCGATGAAATGTTCCACATGTACGCGACGCGTGGCTGCCGTAGCCAGTCTTTCTTCTTTAATAGCGATCTTGGCAAGCTTGGCCGCGACATTAAGACGATGTAGGTACTCCAACGGGGTTTTATCAGATCGCTTCCTTGCGAGATAATACTGTCTGGCCACTGACACACCTTGCCCTCCATATTGTATCATAAAACAATCTAGCAATCGCTTCCACTTGTGTCGTGTAGATCGGCTTAGTTGATTGTACCAGTTACGAGCATGTCCCGTCAACAGATCGCCAAATATCAGACATTTTTCTTCATCTGGCGCCTGATCGCGCAGGAATGCCGACTTGACTTTGCTATTCCGGCTTCTGGCTCGATCTTCATCTCGATCCTTGCCTCTGAATTCCTTCAGCTATGTCATCGCGGATACTCGAATGCGTTGAGGGATACTATCACCGTTTTGAAACGTCTCTGTGGTGGCTACCATAGCACGTCGCCGCTCTTCTTGGCCCGAATCGTCGGGATCGGCATCGTCGAAATCAAAATTGTTAGATCGACTGCGATGCGATCGCACCGATTCCATCTCAACATCTGGGATATACACTTCTTGGACTCTTGCCGGCTTGATTCTTTGGCTTGGGTAGATTGCTTGATACGCTTGTTCTCGTTGATCTTGATGAAAACGTTCCATGGCCTCCTTCAGGTATGTTTGTAGGTGTCCTTGCATAGCTGACGTCATCTCTTCTTTAGCGCATGCGATCGCCGATCGCGGTTCGCACTTGATCGCATCGACTTGATCACGCAAATGTGCCGCACCACTTGGGCCGAGATACATTCGCTGAATACCGATCAAATCATCCGATTCCATTTCAGACTCAGCTGAGGCGTACTGCGACGATCCAGTATGATATCCTCTCGGGGTATCGGCGATCGCAGCGGCTGCTTGATCGTCAAATTCGCACTTACCCGTTAGGGGAGCCAACTTGTTATATAGCGATCGACACGTGTGAATCACCTGATCTTGATCGCACTCCAACAGTTTGTTCGCATCGAACACTCCAGCGACATATCCAGCGTCATGTAGTAGCTGAATGATCGCATTGATCCCGTCCAACGGGTTTGTCGTCACCTTCGGCGGGGAAATCGGACCTTGAATTTCTCCGATCAGCTTGGGCTTCAATATCTGCAGCACTGGATCGCTCGATAGCAAATTCTTGAGTGCCCTCCAGTGATATCCCTGTGCCAATTGGTCCAACTTCCAGCCTTCCATCTTCATGTCATCATCAATGAGCTTGATTGGTCGAATGATCGATTTCATTTCGCGATCAGTTCGATCTGATCGTGTCTTTTCTTTCTTCACTCGATCTGTCTTCACAATCTTCTTCTTTGACTTCGCTTGAGTGGTCTTGTTTAGTTTTTGTTCAGTTTTTGCTGAAGGGTTTTCACCCAGCGGATTGTGCCTTGCATCACGATCCGCGGTGGTCCCCGAAGGGACCCCAGGAGGGTGTCGAGGTTTCTCTTTCAGATCGATCGCTCGATCTTTCTCTTTAATCTTCTTGTCATCAGAGCCCCTCCCAAAACTCTGACGATCTGGGGATCTTTTATCATCACGCGTCTGCGGCGATCCCTCTTCCTCATACGCTTCCATTCCAGGTTCAATCTTGACCTTCTCATCTTCGCTCAGGGACTCACGGTGAAATCCCGAGTCACCAGAAGATCCGGGCACGCGCACCATTGTGGTGGAGCGGCGATCGCTCATTTTATGAGGCGATCTCGACTCTCCACTGGTGCCCAGACGACCGACTATCGGAGGGGGTACTCCGTTTCCGTGTCTTGTATTTCCTTCCTCACCTTGTGTACCCGTCGGTAGGGCGGGCTGCACTCTTCTCGGTGGACTCGCTTCGAGAGAAAACTTGACCGTGTTTGGAATGGGGTTTGTGATCGGGCGTAAATCTTCACGCGATCACGGTAGTACTTGTAGGCTACTTGATGTAAGCCACTTAGATCTCTAAGAGATCACCTTGTCCAATATGTTGTTGCTTGATGCGAGCCTTCTGACCACTTGAGCCGTCTCGCGATCTTGCGCCTTGTCCTTTACGTTCTTGCTGCGTCCGATCGCAGTTGGGGTTGTTTTAAGAGTTCTTGATCCCCAGCCAATTATCTGGGGATATCACTTGATTAAAGTATACGAAACTTTCTTGACGTCGGGAGGCCAATATTCCAGCCCGGAAGAGAAGTTGACACGTGTACTTAGAAGTAAATAGATTTCTGTTTAATGTCCACCAACCAAAATCTAAAAACTGCGAGTATGCCTGTCTGTATGCCAGGATATGCCGCCATGTGTCTTCTACCTTTCGTTGGTCGTCCTTTAGCATATGTGGTCCACACCCTGATCGCTCGTCGATCACCTTGGCCGCTCGCTGATCTTCCCAATCGTCGATCACTTGACCGATCGCTGATCATCCAGATCGTCGATCACCTTGGTCGATCACCTTGGCCGATCGCTGATCATCCCAATCGTCGATCACTCGATCGATCGTCGATCACCTTGGCTGATCGCTGATCACCTTCGTCGATCACCTTGGTCGATCACCTTGGCCGATCGCTGATCATCCCAATCGTCGATCACTCGATCGATCGTCGATCACCTTGGCCGATCGCTGATCTCCCCGATCGCCGATCGCCTAGTTGTGATTTTCGATCTGGTTATTGTTATATTCGATCCCTCTATTGTGAAATTCGATCCCCTTACTGTGATATTCGATCTCGTTGTCGTGATAATTGATCTCGCTGTTGTGATTTTCGATCTCGACATCCCGTAACTTAACAGCCAATCATTCCTTCTCAGCGATTTGTCGTGATTTGCGATCACTCCACCCAACGATCTCCTCCATTGTTTCGATCCGCTTTGCCGCAGCAACGATCGCCCAAATTGTCTTGGTCTGCTTTACCACATCAAGGCCATTGACCATCCTCCTTAGAAAGGACGCGGTTTGGTTCTGGGTCTCGGTTCAGGCACAAGTTTTTCAAGCTGTTAAGGAGGTTCTCCTTCATGCTCAAATTTTGGCTTTGCCTGACCCGGAGAGACCTTTCACTGTCGTCTGTGGCGCATCTGGTTTTGCCATTGGCAGTGCATTGTTCAAACTGATATCGATGGACATGAGCGCGCCATCTTGTATGAGTCGCGCCAGCTAAAAGCTGTCGAAAAGAACTATCCAGCTCATGACAAAGAGTTACTGGCAATGACGTGCGCTTTTGTAAAATTCAGAGTGCATCTGCTTGGCTCAAAGCCTTGTGCCCTCTCATAGACCATGCGTCTTTACGCACTGCGACCCGTTCGCCTCATCTCTCACAACGTATGGCCAGTTGGCTTTCATTCTTCGCTGAGTATAACTTCGAGGTGAAGTATAAACCAGGGAAGCAAAATGCTTTGGCCGATGCGTTATCACGCAGGCCGGATTATGAGCTTGCTCATGTTACGACTCTGTCTTCTTCTATCCCTGATATAATTCGTGCGGCTTATACAAAGGATAAGTAGTGTGTTGCTTTATTGCGCGCACTAGGCTGTGAGAAGTTTAAAGATTCAGAAATTAAGTTGTCGGCACGATTACGTGCGGGGCCACATCGATATTCTCTCCATAATGACCTACTGTGCTATAGCTCGGATGCGGCGGATACTCCGCGCATCGTCGTACCTCATGACGAAGAATTGAAGTATCGTATTCTCTTTGAGGCGCATGATACAGCTTTGAGCGGCCATCTAGGTCGAGAGAAGACCTATGGCTCGGTAACCAACACTATTGGTGGCCCAAATTATATAAATGGATGAGCACATATGTGCGTACGTGTGAAACGTGTCAACGGGTCAAGTCAAACCCTCCGCTCATGCGGCTGCGCCTTTGACGAGTTTGCCTATACCCACGGGTTGTTGGGAATCCATCTGTATGGACTTTTTACTTGGTTTGCCAACAGATTTGGACGGCAACACTGGTATTGTGGTCTTTGTTTACCGTTTGAGTAAGATGACTCAATTAGCGGCTGTGCCGGCTTCGATTAATGGTGAACGTACAGCACAGCTGTTTATCGATCGCGTGTTTCGTCAACACGGTTTGCCTTTGGCAATTGTTTTAGACCGTGATCCTCGGTTTACGGGGAAATTTTGGAAGTCTAATCTTCAAGGTGCTCGGCACCGGATTGGACATGTCCACCGCGGATCATGCGCAGAACGATGGTCAAACTGAACGTGTTAATCGTGTCATTGGTGACATTTTGCGCAGCTTTTGCGCAGATACGCCTAGGCGTTGGATCTCTATGCTTCCGGTGGTCGAATTTGCCATGAACAGTTCGGTCCATGCCTCGACTGGTTACACCCCGTTCTATGTTAACGGTTTCACCCATCCGCGCGTCCCTTTGACGCTACCACTCCGTGGTTCCGGAATTGGTGGGGGAGGGATTGCCGATCGGCTTACTGATGTCAGCCCTGCTACTGTTCAGAAACAGGTTGGTGAGTTCCTTGCAACAAGGTTGAATGTCTTACGACATGTGCGAGATGCAATGGCTGATAGACAAGATAAACAAAAGGAACAAGCAGATGCCAAAGGCAGAAATTGCATTGAAAGTTATGAAGTCGGTGAACAAAATTTACTTAGCGCTAAAAAACTACCTACAAATGTAGTGTCAGCTGTTCGTAAAACGAAGTTGCGTCCGCGCTTCATTGGACCTCTTACGGTCATGGCCAAGAAGAACCTTGTGCATACGCTCAACTTGCCGCTCGAATTGCGTACACATCCCGTCTTTTATGTCGGCCTGCTTAAGCCATACCGGGACCCGTCCCATGTTGACTTGAAGGCGCTTGCGCCGCGTATATTGGCGTTGCCACAGGATGTTGCATCCGAATTAAGAGGTTAAGTTGAGCCTCGACACGAGTCTGACGTGACTCCATCATCTGAAGACGGGCGCGATCGCCTTCAAGCGTCTCCAGACGAGATTACACTTCGCTCAGAGCATGCTGGGTTTGACCCAAAGTCTCACGGAGACTATTCACACCTTTCGACATATTCGAGTGCCTCTCAGACAATACTCTGAACGCCACCGGCGCTGCTTGATAGACACGGGAACCTCCAGTACCATGTAGAGAGGTTACTTCAGCGAAGTCGTCGTCATGGTCACTACCAATACCTGGTGAAGTGGCGTGGGTATACCTAGTCTGAGAACTCATGGGAGTATGAGATTCCCCTTCGGCAAGACTGCCCATACGCCGTGGAAGTTTTTGAGCGCCACGGTCAGGCCCGTCTTAAAAAGTACCACACTTCTCACTATCAGAGCGAGAGCGGGCGAGTTCGTGTCAGAAGATTGACGTGAACTCGCGGCTGCAGAGGCAGCCAAAGCATTGCGGGAATGAGACATTCCCCTTAGTCGGCCTGTGGCCTTTAGCTTCGCGAAGTCGTAGCGAAGTTTTCTCTATAGACGAGCGTCTGCCACACTGGCACTTGCTCTCAGATCTATCATACTACTGAGGCGTTGAACGCCATGTACCCAGCGTATGAACGCATTATCCTCTAAGATGCCGTCCTCATTCTCAGACATTAAGACGGGTATACACCCTTCATCGGTGGAACCCGTGTGCCTTTGGCCTACTTCTAGGTACTTTCTCGATACTCACTCAAGTTCATCACAGCAGGTACCACATACCTTTCCTGGAGATCCTTTCGGCATTCACTTTCGGTGGGCGTTTTCGCCTCGGGGCCAGTAGTCCACCCAGCCAAAATTCGGCCAGCCTTTTGACGGTTGCATTCTCCCACGTCAGGAGGAGTGAATTGTGCATACACGGTGTCGCCGTAATGTGGTCAGAATTTTGGACTTGCGCCGTACGCTTTTCGCCTTATCGAGTATGCGTTATTGCTCCTCGTCAAGTTGGTTAATGCTGAAGGACGGGTACAGGTTATGCATCGCACATAGCGCTGTTGACGCATTCGCGGCACCACTTTCAGAGAACGAATTTGGTGCCGGGCGTGGGATGCATTCACACACAGATGTGCTGGATTCGGATTGCTCCTCCCTCTATGTGGTGTAACTACTACACTGCTATCGTCCACTTCCTCGACCCACAGATATTCGGCTAAAGCCTTCTCTTCCGTTAGGTGTTCAGGTCGGTCCATGATGATAATTACAAAGTAACAACCTCAATGAGGAGACAAGTCATGTAACGTTCTGTAGTAACGTAAGTCTGGTGGGGGAGGGTTTAACGGGGTCACACTAGCCATTGGCTAAATTAGTTGAAGACCTCGCATGTGTAATATAAAGGACAGGTGTGGCCTTAGATTTTAGTTCAATGGAGAATACCGATCAGTTGGCATTTTCTGAGTTACGGTTTTTACCGTGGATGTACTTTGTACCGTCATTATTTGATGACTGAGTGATGTGCCAACCATTCATCTAGTTCGAATACTGATATTTTAATTGGTTCTAATTAGTAGAATATAGAGTACTTAAAGTAGGATTGTCCTTGATATAAAATCTAAATAAAGTTCAGTTCTCATTTTGAGCAAAAATCCGTATACTTCCACCGTCTCGCACCTTGCGCTTGACAGTTCCGTAAAACTGTCGTGGGTTAGGGATTTCTTAGACTCCTGTATTACCCTTTCGCACATTGTGCGTTTAGTTCCTTAGAACTACAGTAGTTGAGCTGTTAGCTCGTAGATTCCGCGCTAGTTCCGTAAAACTAGCCGACTCTTT